CCTCTCTCTGCAGAGTGTCTCTGGGTACCAACACCGACCTGCCTCTCTCTGCAGAGTGTCTCTGGGTACCAACACTGACCTGGCCCTCTCTCTCCCTGAGAAGATGCTGTAGGAGCTCGATCTCGGCTTCAGCCCGGGTCAGGTCTCTGGCTGCTTGTGCGGCCTTTCTGCTGAACTTTTCTGCTTCCTGCAGCTCCTATTGGGACAGGACATGAGAAGGGCACGGCCATCATGATGGTCATCTTCAGTCGGTCTTCCTCTCAGAGTGACCCCTATGCCCCATCCTATTACCAGCCTTGCTTATTCCCGCACACGGGGTGCCAAGCCTGACCTGTCATGGGGCAAGAGGAGGGTTTTGCATGAAGAAAAGGACTTTCTCTTCATTATCCTACGGTCTCTCAAGACTGTCTTTCAGGGTTCTCTTCCTGTGATCTACTAGCTCAATCTCATTGAAATCTGTGTCATATTGAGCACCTTAACCACCACTCCAGCCACAGCACTAACCGCATGTAAGGTAATGGGTTTCATACACATACACAACATAACCATTTGGAGGCTCAGGATGAGCTTGGTGGTACACAGCTTTAATCTCAGAACTTGAAGCAGAGGCTGGTAGATCTCTGTAAGTTTCAGGACAGCCTGGTCTACATAGCCAGTTCCAGGACAGCCAGGGCTACATAGAGAGATCCTATTTCAAACAAACAAACAACCATAAAAAAGAAAAGAAAGACAAAACTTGAGGTTCAGAGGGACTGTATGGTGAGCTTTCAAAACTTCAATCCAAGCATGTACGGACAGTGACTTCTCTAAGGAGACTGCTAGCTTTTACTATTCATTTGATGGTTCCTTTCAGAACTCAGTACAATCTGGGGCCCAGATAGCCCCCATTATGGTATAAAATCACTGGGTCTTAAGAAAAGCAGAGTGTCGTCAGGTGGTGGCGGCACACACCTTTAATCCCAGCACTCAGGAGGATCTGAGTTTGAGGCCAGCCTGATCTACATGAGTGAGATCCAGGACAGGCACCAAAACTATACAGAGAAACCCTGTTTCAAAACACCAAATAAAGAAAAAAAGAAAAAAAAAAAAAAAAAAAAAAAAAAAGAAAAGCAGAGTATCACAGCAGTTTGTATACCAAAGTCTGCACCAAGGATCAATATGTATGCTGCTGCGTTTTTGAGACAGAGCTGGTGAAGACGTCCAGACTTTATGGACTAACCTCTGCTCGCTCCTGATTAATTCTCATGACGGTTCCATGCAGAGACTTGAGCTGGTCTTTGGCGATGGTGAGCTCAGCTGCAGCTAGTTTATCAGAAGCAGCCACAGCTTTCTTCAGACTCTTCAGCTCTTGATCTAGACCAAGGAACTGCTCCTGAGATTTGGCGTCTTCACGCCTCTTCTAAAGTAAGAGAATCATAGCTGAGAGGCAATAAATTAAGATATAAGCTCCAAGAGGGCCAGGAGCTGTTCCTTGCAACATGCCCATGTCTAGAATAATACCTGATGCATACTAGGCAAAAACTCTGTGTGTGTGTGTGTGTGTGTGTGTGTGTGTGTGTGTGTCCCTCTCAGTCCTTTGAGACAGAATCTTTCTTGGGGCTTGTGTTTCTCAGCTAGGCTGTAGCCAGCAAGTCCTAGCCATCCTCTTGTTTCAGCTTCCCTCACAGCTCTGACTGCAGGTGTATGGAGGAGTCCAGTCTGTTGTGAGGGTTGATGGTCTCTGGTCCTCATGATGGCCAGCACTGCTCCCAACAGCTGAATCATCTCTCCAGCTCCCCAAATACTTAAGATTTTTGAAATAACTCTTTTCTTAGTTAAGAATCTTGGACTGGAAAGATGGCTTAGAGGTCATGAGCACTGGATACTGTTCCAAAAGACCAAGGTTGGATTCCCGGAGCCCAGACAGCAGCTCACAGCCATCTGTAACTCAAGCTCCTGGGAATCCAACACCCTCTTCTGGCTTCAGTGGGTACCCGGAGCACATGTGGTGACAAAATACCCATACACATGAAAACAAATGAATAATATTGAAACAAGCAACCTTCCAAACCCAACCTTATTTCTAGGAACCATAGCAGATGGACAAAGCTTTCAAAGTAACTGTATCAGGCTTGAATATACGATAATGAAGACCATGACATTTTTGAGGCTATTGAATGGGACAGGGTCTTAGGTTTCAAAGACTTGGTCTTTAACAGTGGAGGTTGGGAGAGGAGGTTGGACTGACTACAGCCATTTCCCCATCTCACAGAGGGTGGATTGGTTGCTCTGTGGAATAGCGTCATGTGTAGAATGGAGAAAGTGGCTTGCTCAGCAGCTGAGCAGGAGAATGGCTAGAGGGAGATGAAAGTCAACAAGACTTGGCGACTGGAGGGTTCCTATGGGGTAAATCACTCACTGAGATGAAGAAGAGATGGCAGATGTGGAGAGGGACAGATCAAACAGCAAGATGGGAGGCGAGCTTACAGTGAAGAATGATGCCACGTGACATGTGACAGTGAGACTGTAGTGATATTACTGTGCTGGAGAAGGATATTCCACCTCCCCCAGGACCATGCAGACTGCAAGAAAGCAGTGATCTCAGTTTTGTCAGGGGAAATGAGCTAGGAGAAAAAGAAGAGGGACTTGAAGCTACTTCTTGGTGACAAAAAGACTTAGGAGCTGGCTGTGGACTTGAGGCTGGAAGAGATTGAAAAGCTGGAGGCCAGTGAACAGAAGCTCGAGAAGGCTGAAAAAGCATTAACATGAGGAGCTTAGGAAGACAACAGGCTTCAGTCTGTGGTTTCAGAAGTGCTGAGTGAGATTTCTGAGTGTGACTGTGGAGATGACATGGGGATGGGGAAGGGAGATGGACAAAAGCCATCAGAGAGGCCAGGGCATTGGAAAGGAGAGGAAGAGGATGGACCCAGGTGGCCAAAGTGTGTCTAAGGTGGCGAGCTTACCCGATTATCATTTGTTAAGTGTCACCTACATGGCCCTAAGGCGAGTTCTCCTATTTCCAAGTCTCTTGTTTCCCTGTATCAGGAGAGTCTCAGGCCCACAACTGAGTAACAAGCACCCAGCTGTGAGGTCAGCCTCAGCACGGTGCCAGCAGCAGAGAGCTGAATGGGTATTCTACCACTGACTCTGTCACCAGGGGCAGGACCTGAGAAGCAGGTCTCTTACTCTTCTAGGTTCCCCACCTTTTTCTCTAACTCCTGGAGTTGGGCCAGAATTCTTTCCTTTTCTTCATCTGCTTCCTGAAGCTGGAGGTCTGTAAGGCCTTGGATTTCTTCCATACTTTTTAGGTTTTCTTGCAAATAGTGAATTTCATTTTCTAATTGCTGGATTCTTGCATTATGTTGCCTTTTATCAAACTTAATCTGTGAGGAAATAAAATGAAGAACTTTTTCTTTTCTTTCTTTTTTTTTTTTTTTTTTTTTTTTTTTTTTTTTTTTTTTTTTTT